TTCCATTATCAGTGGATGTACAAGCACAGGAAAATCCAGAGCCTGAAATCTCTCTTTAAAGGTGAATTTCCAGAGGTTTTGTCAATTACCTTTACAATTTTGTGCCGAATACTTCAAATACAGTACAATGCATTGAAGCATGCAGTTGTCTGTTAAGTATAATTATAAGGCACAAATGCGTATTCCCAGGGTGTATGGTTTTTGAGGGCTGAAGGCTGCCGCCTCATTGTTCTAGCAGGCTGTTGGGACGCCAGGACAGAAGGGATGGTTACCCCAGGCATGCAGGTATATCTGTGTGAGGAGAACGCTTTGTGCGCTGCGACGGTTGCTAGTTTCAGGATCAGAGATCTTGTTGAATTGGAAGGGGCAACTGGAACTCTTTCCTTCTCCTTTCTCCAGTACATAACTGGCAGTCCTCATCCCCTTGCTGAAAAGTTTTCCTGTGCTCCAGTCTCCTGCCACAGCTGGCAGCTCAGTGATGGTTATTGGATCAGACCCCATTAAACATCTCCTTATAAGTTGTTAAACATTGCCTTTCCCCACCCCCCCTTGCACACACCATGACAAACCTAAGACATTTACCACAAATAGTAAAGTCCCTAAAAACTACCAAATGCAATGCAGGGAGCAGGAGAGACCAAAGGCTTTGGCATCAGCAGAGAATGTGTTAAGGGAACATGACTAGGGAGTAAATAACAGTTCAGGCACAGAAATCCATGATATACTGAAATACTTGCTCATGTGGTTCTCTCTAGGCTGCACTTTTTGCTCGGCAGTGCTCGGTCGTTGCTCTTTTCCATCTGCTGACTCTGGCTGGCAGCAGCTTTAGGGGAGCAAAAGCCAAACAGATTAAAAAAAAAAATCCAAATGCTAAGGCTGGAATAAATGTATATATTAAATATTCAACTAAACTTTATCAGTGAAACATTTGGTTATAGTTTGATTTATGTAAAAATAATTAAATAAATAAAACCTTTGCAAAACAACGGTTTGAGCTTATTGCTGGACTGGAGAAACTTAACAAAACAAATAGTAATTCAAATTAAACTGTTAATGTAACACTCAAATATATAAGACTCACAAGCCTTTACTGTCTTCTAACTTCTGGTTGTTTGGGTTTCTCCACTGTGGCAGTATTTTTGCTCTTTTGCTTTTTTCCAGTGACATAGAAATTCCTGACATAAGAGCCTGGCTCTCTGGGTAGTGTGTACCTATCTCTAATTGTTTCCTGCCCTCAAAATGGGGCCAGAGACTTGGGGGTGGGGGGAGGGAAATTGGGGAAAGAAGTAGAAGCTTCACACTATTAAGGTCTCATTATTGGGGCAAGAAAAAACCCGATTGTTCCCTTAAGAATTTGCGTTAAATTTACTTGTAAAGGTCTAAAATTTCACGGTTTTCTTGTGAGAGCTGGGATTCTCGTGTAATTTTACGAATTCTGGACCTGAGTTGTCAGGAAGAACACTGAATATGGAAAAACTTAAACCAGTAGTGTTATCAGCTCCCAAGACCCTTGATGTTTGTCTTACAGCTCTTAAAAGCAAGATGTGATAATATCAGAATTTAATCTCCCAAGTTGTCCCTCCCCCAAAGAAATTTCTCTAGTTGCAGACAGAGGTTGAGAAAACATAACCTGAGAAGGTACAAAGTTCTTAATTTCCGAAGGACAAATTTGACAGACCCCCTACGTTACTTTTTAACAAATCATGTTTATTTTGGGGACAAACTTGTGATTTCTGAATGTTTGCAATTGACAATATAGAAGCTCTTAAAAGCTGGCAGTACTTTCACATACATCGACGTGAGGATATCAATATCCTAAAAGGAAGGCTTTCCTGGAGTTACAATGTGTATCCTCCAAGCAAAAGGCTTCTGAAGGCCACCTAATGACATAGTGCTGTATTTGTATGGTCTATATTTAGAAGAGTTACAGGTTACCTCTGAGCATAGTGTCCGTCTCATGAGAGCCAGACAGATGAGAGATCTGTGCTGGCCCATGTTGTGCTAGGCTAAAGAGTGAAGTGTGGTGAAGGGCCTCCAAGAGGTCTGGTGGAACCGGGGGACAACTGTGGAGGAGCCAGCAGTGTCTTGGGTGTTGCAGGCAGTGCAGCAAGCGGCGTGTGTTTAACAAAAAAACCAAACCAACCCACCAAACAGCCAGTGATGTATAAAAGCAACATGCCCTTCCCTGGATTGTGAGTTTTGCTCTCACCTCTTCTTGGAGCATCTGTCCCACCAGAAAAGTGTCACGTTGCAGTGCTGTAATAAAGATGTGGGGATGACAAGTCTGAGTGGTGGGGGCGCAACGCTGCACTACTTGCCATGGCTCAGGCGCGTGACAGACACGTTAGCACGGCGCTGGCGAGGTGGGGTGCTGTGCTGGCACGGCGAGGTTCCCTCAGGGCTGAGCCAGGCGCCTCCACCACCAGCACGGGGTCTTTGCTTAACCTGGAAAGGTCTGGGTTTGCACAGTGCAGGAGTTTAAACAACTCACAATGTTATTTCCAGGATGGTGTTTTCCTGCCATGTTTTTTGTTGTGCTTTGGCTGTTCCCGTTTAATAAGTCTGAGGCACAAACCCAGTTCCTGAACCTGGTGAAGGCTATGGCCGACCTTGCGTCTGCTGCAGAAAGAGCAGAGGAAAGATCTTCACCTTTCACAAGAACGTTGCCGTTGTTCTCTGTCAGCCTGTTCTCTGTGCCCATGCAGTGGGCAGACGGGGGTGTGACGCACCTCCAAACCAAATGCATTAATTGCAGGGAGATTGACTTTGCTCTTCTCTTTACTGATTCTTTATAAGCAGTTCTTAATGCTGCTCTGTATGCTCCCCGCGGCAAGGCTGGTGTTTGGGTGCCTGCAGTACCTGGCACCAGCAGGTCCCCTCCCGCTTCAAACTACTGGACATTGCTGTAACCTACAGATTAAATAAATAAAAATAGCGATAACCTACAGAGTAAATAAAAATAGTGATCAAAACGTCAGCAATAGAAGAATAAAATGTTAACTGCAATAAAATACTTTCATGAACGCTCAGTTATATTTTATTGGGCTTTCAGGACTTATATATCCTCTGAGTCTTTATGAATACTTGAGACTAAATAACAGCATTTTGGTGAATGCTGAAATACTTGACATTTTCAAGAGGTCGGGATCTATTTTATAATCCTCGGGAATTTCAAATAATTTCCTTTAAACTGTTTACACTTGAGGGAGTTACAGTCCTGAGAGAGGAGAGCAGGGACGCGGTGTTGGCGTGGGAGGTCACTCCGGGACCACGGAGCAACGTGTCAGTGGGCCGAGGGATGCACGAGGGGACGGTGACCCGGTGCGGACCTCCAGGACGGCTGTCGCGACAGCGGGTCTGAAACAACCGCCCCGGAAAGTCGCGCAGCTGAGAGTTTCG